CTCTTTGCCTGTTGGTTGGAGAGGTGGTGGGGGAAGAGCACTGCAATCCCAATGACTAAAGCAGGGAGTGAACATGGGTTTTTCTGTTCTTAGAGCAGTGCTGCAGCCACTAGGCTATCGGAAAAACATGTCACCTGTATGCTTTTATGGTGCTAAGCCTTGGTGAGATGACAGCTGTTCGTTATGTGCGCAGTGAATCTGGGAAATTCACTGGTGAATGATGGTCTAGAGGAACAAAAGCTAGTCTGGAGGTATAAACTTTGGAGATACACCTGTAGGATGTCATCTGTAACTCAGTATCACTCTAAACTTGCTTCAGTCCCTGCTCTGGTCCTCCAGCACATCAGGACATTGCCGCTGCCTCTTGCCAAGTTTGGATCACAGTACTGTTGAGTGGCCCATCTCTTACTTAGGGCTTCAAGGCAAATGGAAGGATGAGGACAAGGGAACCCACTGAGCCAAAAAACCACACAGGCATCCTTCAGGCTGGGGAGACCAACCCTTCAGTCAGTTGAAGACGAGAGGGGCAGAAGGATGCAGTTGTGCTAGCCAGCCCCATTTTGGGAAGTCCTGAGCCCAACTCCTGACAGTCTCCGCTCTTGCAGGATTGGGCCCCCTCTACAGTGCATTGGAATAAGAGACCATCTCCAGTAGGTACAGGAGAGCCAATTTCTTCATCAACTCATCTCTCCACAAAGAGTTTGTGCCTTGAGTACGCAGCACAGCTATCCACAGCAGCATCGTTTTCTTCCCCTGTTCTTGGTACTATCTCTATATTGTATTTAGTACTCTATGAGAACTTGGGACAGCGTTGAATCTGTTGTTTAGGCAAACACCACCACATGTGGGGGTACTTTTCCTTTGTTTGTAGGGAATAATTTTCTGAAAACTCAAGTTCTGGTCCTGTATGCTTCCCCCCCCCCAAAAAAAAAAGTTATGCTGTTGCTGTGTTTGACATAATTGTCCAATTCCTCTTTACACTGTGAATTTCCCATGAGGGATCAAAGCACAAACACTGGATTATATTTCAGAGTGACTTGTTCTTTTTGCTGCCTATCTCTCGTCTCTATGGTGGAAACGGAAAGTTCCATTTTCTAAAGTATTGTCTAATCCCTCGTGAAGTTGCTGTGGTGTTGAATCTCGTTTTAATCTGTCCTTCACTCTTATCTTTCAGGTTTTTATATAACCGAATGGGATATTGGAGTGACTGGTCCATTCCAATACTTGTAACAACTGCTGCTGGCTTTACGTACATCACATTGTTACTGGTGAGTAGAATAAAATGCTGTTTCCTAAAGGTTTGTGCGTTTGTTTTAAAAAGGGTACAAACTTCTCAGTCCACCTATGACTGGAGCAATTTTCCTTTCAGAATTGATTTCTCCCTCCCTCTCTCTCTTAGCCTTAAATTACCTAAAATAAATGGAAAGTGAAAAATGCATGGTCTTTGACCTCAGGTAATCCAAGAGCAAAGATGGAGACCCTGATACTGGAAGTACAACTGGTTTGAGGAGAAACACAGCTTTTGTTTCTCTTAGTATGGCCCCAAGCCCACTTTGGTGTATCTGCCAATCAGAAGTACAAGTTGTTTCCCCTTGTCCCAGGGTGCTGGGACCTTCAAGGTGGTGCCTGTTGAGGTAGCATGCTGTTACCTGGCCCTGTGTAGTCAGTTCTTCCTGAGGATCCAGGAGCTGTGCACCCATGGACTAGACTCTCCAACTCCCTGCATCTTGGAGGCCAGTCTTTTCCTCGGTGTCCTTGGTTTTGGAGGGGAACTTTCTGTACAGATGAGCTAGGTGTTGTCTGCTGGACCCATCCCCACCCCAGCCTGGCTTTCTGCCCTGACCTGTTGGGTTATCCTTTGGGGTGGCGGTGTGTTCCTGCATGTGCAAACACTTGATGGTTGTGATGTGCCACTGTCTGACTCCTGACTTTCTTCCTTCCAGATACTAGCACTATGTCACATAGCTGTGGGACAGCAAATGAACCTGCACTGGCTTCACAAGGTAAATAGCTCTTTTCAGCTTGGAAAGGAGCAGGATCTCAATAAAACAGGGGTCTAAGAAGTGGGTGGTGTATGTGGTACTGGCTTTCATGGTGGTTTTGAGAAGACCATAAACTTTAGATGTCTGTGGTGCATGTGTCCTCAACCCAGAGGACTGAGCAAATTGCACGGTAGGGGCAGTGAAAGCGTGGGGACAATAGCTTTGCCCCATGGTTGGTGAAATGCTTTGGGATTCCTTCTGACTTTTGGAGATTGAAGAACACCGTGTCATTCGAGCAGCTTGACTTTGGTCTTGGCAAATTGTGGTATTCCATTATGAACCTCTCTGCTGCTCCTTTCTGTGCTGACCCCAACCCTGGAGGAGGGGCTGAGCAGATGTGAAGCTTTTCAGGATGCGCTTGGAAGAACTGACTGTGGAAAAGCCTTGGAAGAAGATGTAGGTGTTAAAACTGGGGGTGTGCAATGTGTAGGCTGTGGTTTGCTGGAACCTAAGGAGGTCCTGATCTGTATGTAAAGCAGTTGGAAAAAAAATTGCTGTGGAATGTAAGAGAAGATGCAGATCTGGTGTTTGGAGCACAGAAGGGAGAGGAAGGGTATATAGCAAGCTGCAAGGAGAGACCGTGCCAAAGAAAATGGCTTGGCAGGATTCAATTGTAAGAGGCAATCTGCTAATAGGTAATTAAAGGACCAGTCCTGAATCTACCAATACAGAGCTGCTCCTGAAATTCGTTGTTCTGCATGTGGCAAGGTCTTGCAGGATCAGAGCCTGAACAGATGTACCACCCCCCAGGACAGGGAGAAGACAGACGTCCCTGTCATCTCTTTTTTTTTTTTTTCCCCCCAGAAACTACAGAAATTATGCTTCCTCATGAGGAGGGGACGCAATGCAAAGAGGGGGTGGGGGCTGTCTGACTGCTGCTGGAAAATAAATTGTCAATTCTTGAGTCTAACATATGTTTCTTCTTTGGGGGAAATGGTATTTTTCAGACATGCTCCAGGTGGCTGGTGGGTTTGGATGAGTAAGCCCAGAAGAGGAATATGTTGGTGGAGATCAGTTAGTTCTTGCCTACAGAAACCCACCCTTGCTCCCCTTCTTCCAAAAAAGTCCACGTATCATCACAAGTCAGATGTGTTGCTCTGTCTCTCTGCCCTTCCCCACACCTCCCTCAGCTTTCAAAGGAGGTTTAGATAAGAGACTGGATGAAGTTAATATTCTTCTTTGCAGCTGTGCTGAGTTACCTTCAAATTATAGATTACAGCACGTGGGAAAGGCTGGTATGTGCAAATAGCACGATTCCTTCCAATTTTCTCCTGTAATCCTGCAAGGAGAGCTGAGGATTGTCAGCCAAGTTGGAGATGCTGAGGGGGGGAGGTTAAGAAGCAGTAAATTAGAGCTGATGGAAGGAGGAATTGATGAAACAGGAGATACACTTGTGACCTGACACCTGTGCTGCACAGGGTAGTGATACCAAGAGGAACTAGGGCTGTACAGAAGAAATCTAGCTTCTTCCTAGACCTGGAGTCTTCTGTTGCTGCTGAATTTGGAGTTCAGCTTTGGGGGATATAAAATGGATGAAAATTAGATTCAGTTGTGTGCTGGTGTTATGCTCTGGCAGGTGACCCAGAGGTCTGACCACAGGATGGGGGAACAGAATGACTATTGCACGCAAGCCCCTATGGCAAAGTGCAATTGTCCACATGCATTGCTTTGTGCTTTATTAATTCAGAGTCCTTAATGAGGAAATATCTTGAAATAGTGTGGCTTGCCATTATAGGTAGCTGGGAGGCATCTTTTAAATAGGTAAGCAAATCTCATCCTTCCTTGGATGTGCAGAAATGGGTTGGTTAGGGTTAGCAGGTGGTTTGAATCCAGCCTCTTGGCTTGGGGATCCTCTTCAACCTGGGACAGCTGGGATCTCTTGGCCCCTTCTGCTGCTGCACGCACTTTGTTCATGTTTCCCAAAAGTTGGAGGCTCAGGGTTAGCCACTGCTCTCTGATGGACACCTCTTGTGCTGTTGGCAGGTCTGTCTGTGGGCAGCCAGGAGAGGAGCAGCAGGTGGAAACCGAGGGCTAAACTAGAAAGAGAAATCCTGTCCCTATGCACAAAAGTGATTCCTGTAAACAGTAGGAATGGGGGTTTTTTTTTGATTGCTTTCCTAAGGTACTAAGTAAATCTGAAATTGGTCAAGAGGTGTCCTGTGCATCCTAGATGATTAGTTCACTGTTACATGTCAGTTGGCCTTTTCTGCCCAAGTGTCCCACAAAAATCCAGATCTAGGCAGTACATGAGATCGAGACACAGAGCAGCAGCATCCTTTTAATCCAGCAGGCACACAGTACAGCAGAGACGGAGACACTAGGTGGAGAGGTGGAGGATGGCAAACTATTTTTTGATAGTCCATATTTTAGGTCTTTACAGATGGAGTTATTTCTATGGCAGTTTTTGATGGTTTGAACTTTTAACCTTCAAAATGGAGGTGACATTTCCTTTTGACTGCTCTGCTCAGACTTCTGAGTCTTTCCATTTGGAGGGAGAACGGAGCCTGGGGGAAGTGGCTGATGGACTGTGTCTTGTTCTGCCATCTCAGTTCAGCCACTGTGTATTGGGTTTGTGTGGCAAGGTCTTGGGAGTGGGGGGGGCTACAGGGGTGGCTTCTGTGAGAAGTTGCTAGAAGTATTCCCTGTGTCTGCCGCTGGCCAAGGCCAAGCCAATCAGTTACAGTGGAAGGACCCCTGGGATAACATATTTAAGAAGGGA